ATTCTCTGCCAGCCTCCCCAATTTTTAAAGTCCTGCTCTCATCCTCTAAAATGGTATCCGTTTGCCGTCTATCATCTTGCTGATTACTTCTGAACGCAGCATAATTAGCCACCCTGCAGTATAATACCAACACCGCACAGTGGCCTAAAGTAGTCACAACGGGCCCCAGTGCATGCTATTGTGCATGTATGGTCTCATCACATGATCAAACAAAGTCAACACTGGACAATATCAACATATAACTTACCCAGCAATCATCATTGCATCTGTATATGACAAAAAATACCAAGGAAAATAAGATATTACTCATTTAATTTAATCATTTTACAGTGACTTACAGTTTATGTTGAGTAAGTGTAGAATTTTGGTGTAGATGCTGCTGACTATTTTACAAAAAAAATCATGACACAAATGGGTTTGCCTTTTTTAAATGGCATTTATAGGGCAAATGGCACCCTTCTGAATTTAATCAGAATTCCCCTTTGAACACAGGCAAATCTGTAAGGTAGCAATCACTCATAAGGGCCCATACACCACCCAGGACATTGTTGAAGGGCCCACTCTCTCTATGGGCCCCCCACCTCACGGGTCCCAATGAAACCGCACTGCCTGCACTGTCTATACTTGCGCCCCTGATGCCACACCTCTTTTTCCATGTCTGTCAAGCTCATACTTAAAGTCCCTTTTACAGGGTTTTTGTTTTAGTCAGTTGAAGACCATTGTTTTCAACCAACTAACTAACTGGTTAAAGCTAAAGTGATAACAGCAAGTTAGCAGGAGCTAAAATCTGCAAGCTCATCCGTATGTTGCCAGGGTTGTTGTAAAAGATTGTTAAGGGCTATCTCCGCAGTTCAAATTGCAAAAGAATGAAAGGAGACAGATGTTTCAAAAGCAGTTTGAACAGTAAAAATCTATTGAGCCAATGTGGAGATATCAGTGTCTAGACGTTAGCGTCAAGAAGTATAGCAACAGCAGGCTATAAGCTTGATTTGGTTGATTTCAACCCAGGACACATTTATTAAACATTTGGCCTAGGGGAAAAAGCATTGGTAAGAACATATAACCCTTAAACAGATCGCCTTAATGTGTCATACTAAGAGGTTATTGAGCTGGGGACATAGGACCCTGGAAACACAGATACTCTCCTGAAGTCTGCTGTAGAGGTGACTTTAAGCAGCATATGGCTGGTCACTATAATGAGAGAGCCTGCTTTTATCCACCCCCATCTAAAATCATTAAGCCATTGTTTAAAAATATACATTTCCCCTCTAACACTGCATGTGTGCCACGCTCCAACACAAAGCTTGACTGGCGTAACAGTAACTAAGGGGCCAATTAGGCTTTCCAACCACACAAAGGGACCCTGGATGAGACAATCCACAAATGCTACTGGGATGTTTACTTGTCACCAACTCTATTGTCCACGCAGACAGAAAGCCCATCACTTCTCCAACAAAGTGGATTTCCACTAAACTGTAAAACTTTGTTTGATGAACTGAGCTGCAACCCAGTTCCCTCAAGTATTGGAAAATCCATTTGGAAAGCAAAAGAAGAAAACACACAGTGAGAAAACTATTAAAGACGCATTAGAGTGGAGATTTTCAACGAGAAAAAAAAACAGAGCTGAAAATAGATGCTTGCTGTGTTTCTGCCTGGCGCTGGCAGAGGAGAGTGAACAGTTTTCCACATTAATCAAAAGTGAGTCTGTTGCACTCACAGCATGCTGTAGGCAATTAGAGAGATACTTTATATGACCGTCACCTCCATTAAACCTATCCACCCTCAGCAGCAGCCCAAACACAACAGAGCCTATGGCCGGAGGTTTAATAACAAAAACTTTTGGGCTACCTAGTGAGCTTACTGAAACAGGAGTTATTATTAGATTTGGCAGAGACACAGGGAGGTTTGATAAATTATTCACTGCAACAGCAAAGACTTATGAGCAGTTAGAAACCATGTCCACATAGGTAAACCCATCAATTACAACACCACACACCGAACACTTTCTGCAAAAGCACAGAACAGGTGATGATTAAGATCCGAGCTGTTAACACCAGAAGTGAGAGCATTTTGTTCTCTTGTATTATTTGTTTTCTTGCATGGCTTCAGTTGGCATGTGCAAAGTGTCCATAGGAGGCTCAAGACATTGGAAAGAGCACCCCAAGAAGATGCTCACTCAATGATTTTTGAAACTGGTCCAGTATCGAGAGAGTGCTGCGGCTGGTGAAACAGGCTGCAAAGTAATCCTTACAGTAGAGCTGCGACGATTGTCAACTACGAGATTAACTGACCCTTTGCTAAGCCCTGCCCCTTTGCAATGGTCTGACAAGCTTTCACAGTAAGCATGGAGCCCACACTGTAACTAACTGCACTCCCTGAAGAAATATTATCATATTTTTAGAAAAATGAAAGAGTGATTCCAGAGAGAAGCAGACAGAGGGGTCTACAGTCTGTGTTTGAAGGATATATCCAGGATGTCAAACTGACTCAGCAGCAACAACAGGTTAAAAAGACAAAGATAGTTAGAAGCTAAAGCCGAACTATAGGCTACAGATCACAGTGTAAAAGTGAACCACCACATCACTGCTGATCGCCACACAAGACAATGAATATAAATGATACTGAACCAGCTGTGTGGCATCGCAGTGTGTGCAAATGGACAGAGTCTGGCAGAGATCTCCAGAGGGAAGTCAAACAACATTCATCTGCACACACTGCAATGCCACACAGCTGGTTGAATATCAGCAAAGTTTCCCTGCTTCCCTTCACTGGTTCCTGTACAGCAGGGTCGGTCTTTGTTTCACTGTTATAATCATTAAAAAGCAAAAGCAGCATGTGTATACATTCAGTTGGCTATATCTTCAGTAGCTAGCTAGCTAACCCTACACTTTTCAGGGTTTGATTTTGGTTTTGGAACAGGGAAGAAACGTATATCTTTTTCCAACCTCTCCAGGTAACGAGTATCATTAATACACGACGTGCCCCAGACACAACATTTAGCTCCAAATCCACAAAACCAGCCTGAAAATGAAGGAAATCTGAAACGATTGCACCAGAGTCAATGGAGCACAGCTGTGTTGTTGTCGGACCCTGGAATGAGCCGCCCACATGCTACGTTATGATTGGTCAGTCTGTGTCTAGGGGCGGGACTTAGTGAAGGGTTAATTCAGAACTAAGCAGTAAATTAATCGGTTTGAGGTTTTTTTTTAAAGTAACTCTAAGTAATTCAAAGATTCCAGCTTTTTTTAATGTGAATATTTCCTGGTTTCTTTACTGCTCTGACAGTAAACTGCATATCTTTGGGTGAACAAAACAAGACATTTGAGGACATCATCTCGGGTTTTGGAAAACACTGATCAACATCTGTCACCAATAGATTCTTTACAGACCAACAACTAATCAATTAATCATGAAAATAGCTGTTAGTTGTATCTGTTTCCAGGGGTTATTGTGCACCGCTTTTGCCACTGACAGTCTCAGATTGTTATTAAAAATGTCCACCAACATTATGGAGAAAAAAAACAACAGAGAAATGACAAGTTTTTCCATTCCTTTTGCTAATCCAGTCTGTGTGTAACCAACTCTTGCTCAAGGAGACGTGTTGTTCTGCATTCTCGCTGACTTTTCCACACTGTTGAAATCAGCTAAATATTCAGCCATGACACTGAGAATCTCTCAGATAACACAAAGCTACACTTTCTGTACTCCCACACAACAAAATCTCCCAACACTCCTCTCACTAAAATCTCCACCATTTTTTCTGCAACAAGTCATCTCCTGTGAGATTTCAGAACAAGTTCTACTTCAGCGACACTTGGACGCAGTAAGAAACAGACCAGTAAAAAGTAAGGAAAAACATTTTATTCCTCTGTAGAGTCCTTTCTGTGATGTTGTCAGACATCTTTAATAACAATATGAGCCTATCTGTGGCAAAAACAGCACTTTTAATGGACGTGAATTGACAGTGCAAGATGACCTGTGGGGGTTACACTGCAGCCCGTTTTGCTGCTACAGCTGCAGCAGTCTGTCTCAATACTGGACCAATTTAAAAAAAATGTTGTCTCCATTCGTCACTTAGACACAAAAACATGGGGAAAATGGGTTCCAGGTTGAAAAATACCAACATTTCACATTAATATAGACCCCAATATGGATCTGATGTTTCTCCAAATACATCTTTGGTTTCCAGTTTTTCTTTGCGAGGCTCAGCTACAGTTAGGATACAGTGAATCCGGGTGAAACGTGATAAGGTGTTCTGACCTCAAACTTTCCAAAATAGGTTTGACACTGTCCAGACACTGACATAAGATCAGCTGAGACCCAAAGACAAGGACAAAGACCACTTTAGGAGGATTTCTCAAGGCACACACGATGGAGAAAACAAGTTGAAATTTAGGACAAGAACAGATTCATCCACAGAAGTCAGAAGCTCCAATCATGGCACTAGAGTAATTGCATACTGCTGCAATTGCAAATACATACACTATGGACCGTGAACTATATTTAGTCCAATATATAATAGATAGATGTGATTTATAAAATAAAGTCCTCTGTCAACAGTGCTAGAAAAAGAGACCACAAAACGCCGCCACATGACAAACACCAGGGTGCGAGGACAGATTATCTTCTATAAGCTGTCTTCACTCTGAGTTTTCCACCACTCCACAGCATTCACTGTGATCCCAGAGTCAACATTTACACAAAGCATTGTCTGGCAGCGGGGTTAAGCCTGAGCTGAGGCAGCAGGTGAAACAGAGTAGGAAGAAAACCCCACTGCACAAGAGGCTGATTTCAAAACACCCAAATCCTAATATCAACAACATCGGGAAATGTCTTGGCGGCAACAGTTACACTGACAGATAAAACCACGCTGCTGCCTCTGGGCATTTTTGGATAAAGCTTGTGTTCTGAAAGTTTTATGAATGAGCCATAAATGTTAGTGTTTGCTGCAGCAGCAGCAGCAGGTACAAAGCTGCGAGCAGTAAGAGCGCTTCTCTTACCTCAGGTGCTTTGAGCTGCTCCTGTGGCTCTCCTTCTGCACATGTTGCTTTGTCTGATATCTGGCTCTGCGTGTCAGCGGTTGTTCTCACGTCTCTCTAATTGAGCAAACAAACACAGGAGTGCATCAACTTTGTGTTGTTGGCCTGTCCGTGTTTTGCTTTACATTTGAATTTATTGAAAGGATGGCCCCTTGAAATGCAACGCAGATACAGAACAAAAACATGCAGACAAAACTGGAACATACACTCCAAATACAAAGATACAGACATGTTGCTCACCATCTCCCACCCACACTCCCTGCCCTCAGCTGTTGTACAAGAAAATTGGATTTGGACACAGTGACCTTGAATAGTTTCATAGCAGTTTTCAGTACATTCAGACATTTTAAAAACATGAACAAGTTGTTTGGAGAAATAAGGAAGTCCTGAAGCAGCAGAAAGAGGTAGCAGATCTCAAGATGGTCAGATGGAGCGTTGTACTGGGATGACCTTTGTCCAACTACTTTAAAAATTCTGGGAACAAAGACAAGGGGATAATGCATATGTCTATGTGGATCTGAGGACTTACATGGAGTCAAAAACTGTTTCAAACATGAGGGAAAATTGAATTGAACCCAGTGAAACTGGCTTCTAGATTTAGGCTGCAGCCAGTTCAGTGATACATACATAAAGCAATGGTGAGCTCTATATGGACACCCCATTAAAACAAATCTACATGGAGAATTAAACACTACATTAAGGGGTTTAAGATGAGTGTCAGATGTGTTTTGATAGACAACATCAGCATAATCAACAACGGCAGCTGTGAAATTTTCCTGACCTGAAATGTTAAACACTTAATTGTAATTTACATGACAGCAGTCTCAGATTAAACTGGAACCATAAATCAGACTCTCTCTCACCTTGTAGTACCCAGAGACCTGCTCTGCAATGCTGTTGATGTGCAGCATGTACTGGTGCAGCCTCCGCTGGTACCTGAGAGCCGACAGCTGGGCCTCGTTCTGCAGAGTGGACACCTGGGCTAACAGGGACTGCTCCCTCCTGTTCCACCTGAGCCTCGCCATCCGGGTTTCATGCTCCAAAACTGCGCTTCTTTCCTCCAGCGCATCCGCGACCGTGCGGAGCGCGTCCATGCAGCAGTGATCCAGTTCAGCAGAAGACACCAGGAGCCCGCACCCTTTCTGACAAACACCTTCACCACATTCACCACCACCAGCAGCACGATGACCCGTCTGTGGCTTTGTTTGCGACTCCATCTCCATCTCCATCCCGCCTGGGTTTAAAACTTGGCACATTGGCTCCTTTTCCGCGCAGGGACTTGAGCAATCGGCGCACATAGTTTGGCGCAGGACAGTGAGTTAGAACAAAGTTATTTCACAGGTCTGAACACATGGAAGAGTGAGGGAACTGAAAAAGTTTGACCGGTCTGTTGCGCAGCTCACGCTGAGCTGAGGGGCTGCGCCACTTTACGCAGGACATGTGAGATGTGTCTGAAAAACTTCACCCTGCTGACTCACTCCTGCTCTCTGCTCCGGATCAGCCTGTTTCCCGCCGTCGACACAACATAATCCTAATTTAAAGTCGGTTATTAAACCACCTTTACACTCCAGCAGCTTGTCGAGAAGTTTAATCTAGTTTCACGCGGTTTGATTTAATTACGTGCAGCTGTGATAGGTGCAGTGCACTTGATGTGTGTTACACAGCCTCGCCAGCAGAGGTCGCTCATGCTCTCACACACTTGGCATTGGTTTATTTGGCAGCACGGGCCTCAGGGTGACATAGAAAGGACTCCATCTACATCTAGGGCCATATTCACAAAGCTGCCCACTGCTAAGAGTTGCTCCTGGTGACGAACTGTGACGTTTTCCTACAATTTTGCCTTAAAGTTAAGACTAGGGCCTTGTAAAGATAAAAGTCACTCACAAAGCATTTTAGACCTTGAAAGAGCTCCTAAGGTAAAAGACTGTTGGGAGCAGGGAGGGGGACTTTTAAGGGAGTTTCTTAAGGAGAGGAGAAAATGGTGGAAACACAAAGAGGTCAGAGAAATATTCTCCAAATGCTGTATGACAGTGAGCAAATGAAATGCTACAGATTAGACTGTGCAGGGATGATATTTGTGATCAGTCTCACCAGGGGTATGCACGCATTTCACACCCATTGCAATAACACAGTCAACAACTTGCAGCATCACAAATGGGTGTGTCTGTGACAACCAATCACATCTGTTAAAAGCAAGCATCAAACCTAGCAACAGGGTCAACCACACCTGCTCACTAAGGGAAAAGTTTCTGTCCCCTCCTTGATCAGAGTCGCTCTGAGGACTTTCATAAAACATTCCTAAGCTAAGACTCCTTACTAAAAAATTTTAGGCTAATGTAAGAGGAGATTTATTTTCGTGCAGACGTATCCAGTAGGTAATTCATTATTTTGCAGCTACATAATTCAATGTTCACTACATTCATATATTGTTTACATATTTTATTTTGCTTCTCACATATACATTTGGGAACTATTTGATATCGCACACCTTACATGCAGGTAAAAAGAGTTCTGATGAAGTCTGACAAAGTGATATATAAGATGTGAGATGCCACTCTTGTTGTCAATTTTCTGCTGTGCTACATTTTTTGGGAGATTAAAGTGGATCAAGTCACTCCGAGAAGCTGTCCCTGTGCTCTTACTTGACCCACAGCCCTTTGATAGATAATGCAGTAACTAGTAAGTTTATAGATACGACAGGAGGAAGAAACCTGCCTTATACAAAGTTAGGAGCATCTGAAAGATTTTTAAGAATGTTTGTGAATACGGCCCAGAGGGTGTCAAAGTCATTTTAGTTCATGGGCCACATAAAGCCCAGTTTGATCTCCAGTGGGACAGACCAGTAAAACCACTGCATAACAACCTAAAAACAATAATGCCTACAAATTTTTCCTTTTCTTTTAGTGTGAAAAGTACACTGAAAATGTGGATCAGCTGTCTGAGATCTCCACAATATGTCTTAATTTTTCTACATTCAGTCACTCTACTACTCACCGTCTTTACATGCGCATTTGTCCATATATTCCCACTTCCGTGTGGTAGTTTTGGCATCGGCACACCAAATTTAAGTGGAATCTATTAAGGAAGCAGGTTCAGTTATCTCCTGCCTTACAAAACATTTACAAATCTAAGGTTTTCGCAGTGCCGTAGCAACAGTGTTCTACCCAGGGCGTAAAATTAACACCCGCCAAGTGCCATTGACGGGTAAAAAATGAGTTTGCTGTGTAAAACAAAAACACACACCCGCCAGTGGCTGATGGAAAGACTATTTTGACCCTCGCGGCTTATTGTACGTGTGCTGGGAACGCATGACGTCAGCTACCGGAACCCCGGGCATTTTATGGTAACTTCTGAGCAAGATGTGGTGACACATTCCTGCCGTGAAGACACCGCCAGAAAAGAGGAAAAACGAAGATGAACATGTTGGACTTGGACAAGAAGAACAGGCAGTTAAACGGAGTACAAATGTCCCACGGCGTTTTATTGAAAAATGGAAACTAGACGAAGCTGGCTAGCCGCGGTTATGACTGACCTACGACCTCCACACTAACACGATGAGCTGCAGCCTTTGCCGCAAGCACACCAAAGAAACACAGAGGACAGGGTTGGATTTTCCTAAATTTGGATTTTTATACTAAAAATGTAAGGTAATTATTTTTAGTCAAACAAGGCATGATTTGTTTATTTGACTGGTGAAAAATATGTTTGGCCAGTAAATTTTTGGAGGTCACTAGCCAATGGCAGATGAGGTAAAAGTTAATTTTACGCCCTGGTTCTACTTACAATATGTTGCACACTGCTCAATATCTTTAATTATGACCACAGTAAATTTTAATTGTTTTTTTAGACAGCTGTATTCTGGTCGGGGTGAAAAGCCTCTGAAGCAGCGTTGTACACTGTTCAAAGTTGCTCCTGAAACCTGACACCTCTCAGCCTTCACACGTGCATCAATATCAGGTGTGAAAAGTCATTCACTGGGCTGGATTGGACCCTTTCTGGCCCACAGGCCGTATGTTTGACACCCCTGATCTACATCACGATTGGCATTATCAGTGGGGTTTTACTGTGCCTCATCTTAAACCCATTAAATGAATCTGGTGCAGGTTCTGCAGCAATGACACGTCAGTGAAACTTGTCTCTAGGGGACGCCGGCCCTTCAGTGGTTAAAGCCTGGCTTGAAACACAATATCTGCACAGAGACTTTCACTAATAAAGTCTTCCTGCATGAGTCCTGGCCGGTCTCACTGCTTGACACAGCATGACATATTGCAGGCATCTCAGAGAGGGCGTCACGTTTCAGGTCTCCCAGCGAAGCAGTCTGGTTCTGGTCTGCAGTGCGCCACTTGAAAGTGTGTTTTGTGTTGTCTGAGCTGTCAAAGAACAGGTGTAGATTTACAAAGACAATAGCACGATCCATCCTGGGACTGCACACCTGTCTGCGAAAACACATGCACGAAGGAGGTCAGAGGAATGTGTTTTTCCTCCTGTCAATCAATAGTAGCTCTGGTGTTACTTTATAAAGTCATATTAAATTAAATCTTTTTAAAGCAACAAATTGCTGTATTTCCAGAGCTGAATGAGCCTGGAGGAGCGGTCATACTGAGCCAAGCCACAGCCTGGGTAACAATGATTGTGAGTGTGTTCTTGGGGAAATGTGTTAGCCAGCCACCTGGGTTTAGACCTATCACACAGGCCATGTGCTCGCACCGATAAGCCGATGGAAAAAAAAAAAGTTATCTCAGTCTTTTGTTCTCTCCGTGAGCTGATTTCAGTGAATAAGCATTAAGACCCCTGACTGAAACGGAGAGATGACCTACAGCTCAATAACAATCTAAAATCTGATTCATTTCTTCTGACCTAATCCCTGAAAAGAAGTGATATCAATCTGCTTTTCATCTGCTGGATACCTGATAGGAGACAAAACTCCTACAGCTGTTTCTGCCTGAAAAACTACACATTGACAGAGTCGGCCTTATCTGTAATGGAGGGCAGATTGAAACGCTATCTCTGATATATTTGGTTCTGGTCAAGCAAATCTTACTCCTGGAGACAGACAAAAGAAAAAGCCACACATAAATTAAGCACTTGTTGTAAATACTTAAGCTGATAATCAAAAATATTCATAAATATGAGAGAGCTGAAACACTGCTGTGAATATTTCACATGTAGCACATCTAAAGTTACAGTTCTGTATAAATCTAATCCCACTGCAGCAGGACACAAGTGATCCAGTGTTTCGTTTTTTCAACAAAGCTTCATTTTTGCTGAATTTTTATTTAAATCCACCTCAGGAGCGCCGGCACATCTAAGAGCAGAGTGAAAGGCACCTGAGACCACCAGCTGTCTGACCCCAGTGGAGAATCTGTCTGAATTTGATAGCACTTCTTACAACCTTTGACAGATTTGCTTTGTGAGTGTGTGTTTAAACTGTGGACATGCTGAACTAGAAATGTTCTCCTGGGATGTGTGCATTGCTTTGGCATTCATGGATGGACTTCCAATCTCACAGTAACATCAGTATTTCAGACTCATAATTCATTCACTGGTGAACTCAGGCTGACTCGGCTGTGAGCTGAAACTTTGAGCTGGGCCTTATTACTGTGTGACATTTTCACTCCTTTGTCCCTCTCTCTCTTCACGGTCAGAAGCTACAGCTTTTAAGTTCTCTTTTAGACACTTTGGGATATAATAATGTTGTCCACTGGTATTTGGAGCTATTTCAATTCGGAGAATATCATATATGTAGCATCAATCTTGGCATATATAGTAGGGGGATGTAAAACCTGGCAGGTTAAGTATTAGTATCTACCTATTAATCTATGATGTAATGCAATAAACAGATCACACAGTTCTTATTCAGTGCAATTTATGTGATAAAGGTCATGTGATGTGATTGAAATCTCCAGACAAGCTCTAAATGGACCCTCTGGTGAGAGAGTTTTGTTCTCAGCTGCTGTTTCTATGGTCAAGAATGGACTTTGGACCTCAACTCTCAAGCTAACACAGAGAACTCCTTAAAGTGTTCAGAAAAAAATAAGATTTTAACATAAACAATTTCATTACAACTCCATATGCTGATGAAGATCATGTGATGTGACTGAAAGCTCCAGAACAGTTAATACACAGAGGTAGATTAATATTGTTCTGCAGGGGTCTATCATGACAATGGTAGATGGTTATTTCAAAAGCTACCTGTAGTGCTATTTGTCAGTCTAGATTGTTTGGTGTGAGTTGCAGAGTGTTGGTGATATTAGCCATAGAGATGTCTGCCTTCTCTCCTATATAATAAAACTAGCTTGGCACTCAGCTTGTGGTGCTCAAAGCGCCAAAAAATGCATTTGAAAATCTCATCAGCAATGTCTCTTTCCAGAAATCCTGTCCCAGTTACTAGAGATAATCCACAGACCTTGCTGTGAGCAGTTCGTCTTCCTCAGCTGAGCTTAAAGTTAGCTAGCAGTAGATGCACGCTTCCTTCTGTGCAGTGATACAGTTGGCAAGTGTAGTTCATCTCAACCGCCAATATCTCCAACAGCCTGCGACTCACACCAAAACAATCTAGATTGATAAACAGCACTACAAGTAAGAGGATAAATATG